AAGCGTTATCCCACATGTGAGTACATCACTTCCTGTCATGCGCAGATCAGTACAGTAACTCGTGAATAGATGATTTAGTTATGTGTCATCCAGTCTAACTTCACTTTGTCTTGTTCGTGAACTTGTTAGGCCCTGTGTTAAGTACATTAAATTAGTTTTTACCTAAATTCCCTTTACAATTCACTTTCATTCCCTTTTCCTTAGACGAAAAAAGACGAAGCGGGCATGTTAATGTTTAGAAATGCTTTGAACTGAAATTTGTAATGCTTCACTTGTTGTTGTTGTTGTAGTTGTTGAAAGTTGGCAGTATTAAAATTACCTTTTTTCCTTTCCCTTCTTTTGAATTCAAATGGAACAGTGAAATACTTCAAGTAAGTATTGTAAGTAAGTAACAAAGTAAGAACTTTTTTCGTAATTTTGTTTCCTATCTAAAAATCAGACACCTGCTTAATTCGCCGAATCGCACGACATCCAAATGATCCTGGAATGACTCAACAAGATTTCCAGTACTATTCTTGTGCTTTTATTGAACTTATCTGATTAAACGCCCTTCTCACAGTCTTACCTTCTCGGCTTGTTCTCATTTGGCTGTGATTTCAGTCGAACCTCGCTATTTCGAACTCTCAAGAAAAACAAAAAATAGTTCGAAATAGCGAGCGTTCGAAATGGCCGATAGTCAATGACTGAAGGGCAAATCCAAGAGAAATAGTTTTGAATTCGAAATAACGGGGAATTTCAAATAACCGAGTTCGAATAAGCGAGGTCCAACTGTACAAATTTATTGGATTTGCGAAAGGTTAAATTATTAAACAGCTTCAAAATCGCGATAATTGTAGTTTTACGAGAGATATGTACACGTCACCGCTAATACGGAGACTTCATAGTGTCTTCTTACCTCGTCAGAAGATGGCGAAAAGATTGTTTGATTGACCAGAAAATCAACTGATACAGTGTTCATTCCTTTACGGTTTACAGGGATGGCGCGTTTGCCTTTAAGTACGCCAAGAAAAGGAAAGCTGAAGATATGCTCGCTTTCATGAAGGAGTAAGTAGAGGCGATTTAAATGGCTCCAAAAGAAAATTGAAGATAGTTTTTGGTTTCGACATTTCGTTGAGCATTTCCTCGTCGCGCTAAAAAAAGCAACCAAAGTGACCAATTTGTAGGTTTATGAAGAACGTAGATTATGCATCAATATTTACCTGTAAAGTAATTCTGACGCCAAGAGACATACTGACAAAATTTTGTCTCAAGATGGTTTCTGTTTGTCTGTGTTCCAGTCCCCAGAAGCCCGCCCCGTCTCCACCGCCACCTGACTGGAGTAAAGAGCCTGGTAAGGTGCATTTCCTTACGAACGAGACGTGGGATAAATTCATAGAAGAACATTCCTCAGTGCTAGTCATGCTGTTCAATCCTCGTAAGTAAGCTGTTAACTTTGATCGGTTTAAAATACTTATACATAGGCCCTTGATTACGGTTTGGTAATGTATTTTAGGTAGACTGTTTTTGTCAACAGCAGAAGACAGAACAACTTATCGGCAAAACTCGCAACAAATTCCCACCGCAATTTCGCTCGTTTTGGAGTCGTAAGTTCAAATCCCACCGAGGCCCTCCCTTCCAGGGCTAACGCTCAACTGAAAGAAATACTTGAGTTGATTTTTTGCTCTCCAAAGTACTTTACGGGTTAATTCTTTACTTCCGATCCAGCTTCAGACTTATCGGTAACCGGGGTAACATATAAAGAACCACGTGTTTTGCAGGTGGCGTTCACGTGTCAGTCAAAAGAACTGGTGCAAGTCTTTTATTGGTTTACCGGAAATAGAAAGAGCATTTTAAATGTTTTGATGTTTATCAAAACTTGATGCCTGAAATAAGTCCTTTTTTTGAAGTAATAAAATTCTAACATGGCACCCAGGCTTCAGGGAGTAAAGCAAAAGAAGTAACATCGAGAGTAACGAATGATTTCTCTTGTTTTATCATATTCCCCTAAGCCTCCTCACCAAGTTAGGACTATAGTATTTCGAAAGTGGCCTTTTAAGATCATAATGTAGAGGTGTGCGTTTTTGATGATTGTTTTTTAATTGTGTTGTACAAACTTTTTTTTTCTCCTAAGGCTGCGGTTATTGTAAATCCATGAAGCCAGACTACTTCAAAGCCGCAGAGATCCTGAGTGAGGAACTCGTAAGTCATCCATACGAACATTCTAACTTTGGGGAGAATGCTCTTGGCAATGATTGACAATGTTTACCAAGTTTATTTTCAGCCTCGCCATAGCAAGCTTCCTTCATTTCCTTATGTTTTTTTCTGTCATTTTTTAAAGCAGTTCAACAAAATCACATCATATTTGTTGGGTTTTCTGTTATCTAGGACTAGCTATGATTTCTGCCTCCGTTGTTTAAGTTTGTTGCATCATTGACTAACACCAATTCTTCTTTCATGTAGCCATCTGTGGCGTTAGCCGCCATTGACTGCACTCAATTCTGGTCCTTCTGTAAACAAATGGAAATTGCAGGATATCCCACAGGTAAATTTCGTCGCTTATTGATAATTTAAGCTTGCTTTAGGCTCTTGTATAAAATGCGCTACGTTTTCTATAGTTAACGATGCAGTTTCCATGAAGAATTGTACCGCGTACAATAAAGAATATTTGCGTTCTAAGTAGCTCTGCGAAATGCAGAAGTGCCTTGCACGAACGGTCGCGAAGAGCTTCCTCTCCTTAAAACACAAATGTCGCACGGAGAAAATGGTATTTCTGAGTTGCTAACATCAGCTTGAAATTGATGCTTTACCCTCATGTTCACCGCTTTCATTCTACTCAAATTCTTCAGTTGTCTGTTTGAAAGATTTGACACCAGACGACAGATGCAAATAGATAAATAAATTCCTGGGAAGACCAAAAGAAAAACATTAATGGTTTCTTGACTTTAAAAATCTTGAAATTTTTCAAAAAATGATGCTGCGTGCACACAACTTCAATTTCAAATGACAATTCAATCCGAGCGATCTTTCTAAGGCACAAAGTTTAATACGTCGAGAGTAATTGGAAACGGTTATTTGAAGTAAAGTTTAAGTAGAATTCTACTAACACAATTAGATTATTATTATTTCTGTGAGGTGATAGTTGATTCGGCCTTCGGCCTCATTAACTATCACCTCATAGAAATCGAGGGCGAATAATCTAATTGTTGATCAGTGTAAACCTACTGGCGTTCTATCACGAATGCCGTTCTCTGATTGGCTACGCTACTCACTATCTATTTAAACAATAGAGTGTTCTTGTTGAGGAACTATCGGCTTATAGTTGCCCCGCAACTACAAGCCGAGAATTTCCACGGACGAGTACTATCCATCCGGTATTTTCCTCCGACGGGCACTATAGACTGATAGTGTCTCTCCCCAGATTTAAACCAATAAGAATAGGAGAAAATTAAGTGGTGAACTATAATCTGTGATAGATGGCGAGTAGCGTAGCAGTGTGCCCTTGTTAACAAAATGACGGCCGCTTCCTGGCGTTTCGAAGTCTGTGAAAAGGATTTGGATAAATTTTTGAACGACTAGTAGATTTATACTAAAACAATTAGGTTATGTAATTGACTCGGGCTGCGCCCCCGTCAACTATCACGCTTTATAGTCCACCACTACTATAACCTATAATCTCCGATTCTTGTTGGCTTAACATTGATCACGTGACGCGACAATTTTCATCCGCGGAGAGACACTATCAGTCCATAGGGCCTGTCCGAGGAAAATACCAGGATGGATAGTAGTCGTACGTGAAAATTTTTCAGTAAACAAGCGGGCTTAAAGAAAATAAACAATTGAAATTGTATTAAGTGGGTTTTTGTCTGTTTTCTTTTTCAAATTTACATTTGGCTTTAACGGCTTTCATCTAAACAAGTTGAAAATAATGCAATATGATATTTGGTGGTGCGCGGAAGAAGATTTAGTGGTGAACAATAAAGACAATAGAGTGTCTCGGAACGATCGATCTGATAGCTGTCCCTTGGAAATTTGATGTTCTTAAACTAACGTATTTGCTAAAGGAACTAAATAGTTAGCAACTAGTTTCTGTTGAGGAACTAAATAGTTCCTCGAAAGAAACACTCTATTGTTTAAATAGAAATCTCGAGCTGTACAGGCCCGCAAATGATCTCCGGACCGCAGATGATCCCCAAATTGGACCGCAAATGATCCCAGGACCGGAATTGATCCCCAAATTGTACCGCAAATGATCCCCGTACCAGAAATGGCGCCTCGCAATAAAAGAGGGCAACGTATGGACTCAAGAGTTTGGACGATGGATCAAAAAATTATATAATCGATTTTTTTTTTATCTATGTGAAACTCAGAAAACTGTGAACACTTTGATTTGATTCTGAAAGATTAACTGTGAACTTAACCAATTACATTTAAGTTCCGCAGGGATCTGTTTCTCGAAAGCCNATGATCCCCAAATTGGACCGCAAATGATCCCAGGACCGGAATTGATCCCCAAATTGTACCGCAAATGATCACCGCACCAGAAAGGGCGCCTCGCAATAAAAGAGGGCAACGTATGGACTCAAGAGTTTGGACAGTGGATTACAAAATTATATAATCGATTTTTTTTTTTTATCTATGTGAAACTCAGAAAACTGTGAACACTTTGATTTGATTCTGAAAGATTAACTGTGAACTTAACCAATTACATTTAAGTTCCGCAGGGATCTGTTTCTCGAAAGCCCCGGAAACTTTTCGGGCCCGCAAAGCAATTTTTAATTTATCTGTATCTAAAAACAAAGAGGCGTAACGCCTGAAACTTTTTGTATGAAGAGAACCTCTCTTCATGTTAAGAATATCATGTGAATAAAACAGCTCTGTAATCATAAGGTTTGAAGATTTCGCTACGGCTTTCCTGGTGCGAAAACTTTTCGGAACCTTCGAGAAACGGGCCCCAGGACACGCGAGACTGAAACTTCAAAACCACAACTGATTACAGCTCCTGTTTGCGGTTCATTTTCTCAAGGTTAACTGGCTTTTTCCTTGCTGTGCAATAATATTCCATTGGTTTCACGTTTTTCTGAGTTTCACAGTAATACTACAATATTTTGATAACGTGAGCGAAATGCACAGTATTATCGATTTAAATGCAAATTTCACAGCTTTTTAAAACATGAAACCAACGTCACGGAATCCTGTGTTTGAAATTTGTAGTTTAGCTAGGTACTTCCCCGAACCTCCGGGCCTGAGATGCGTGATATGTTCACTATACCCTCAAAGTTGGAGACAACTAAGAATTCCCAAGTGAATTGACTGCAGTTTTCGCGCTGCTTTCGGCACAGAAGAGATTATTGACAGTAAAAAGAAAATTGCACGAGCAAAAGCAACAGCTCCACTCGTACGGCATTCAAGGTAAATAAATCGTTTATGAATTTATCCAAAGAACACTGGGGTAACTCGCACAAAGAACTCTTGTGCACTTTCATGGACGCCCCTGTCTACCAAGGACGCAGGTATAAGAAGTGTACAGGGAAAAGTTCTAAGTGGTTAATTAGATAGCAGAGGGTTCATGTTTATTTTTGCGGTGCGTTTCCCAAACGAAAAATTTATACAGTTGACACATGTCAATTTGGTATTTTGCGCAGTCTGCTTAATGTTTTATTTTGCTGCTTTAATTATACCTGAGGTATGTTGAGGCCACAAGTGTAATAATTGAGCCAGTTATTACATTTGAGGCCAACTGTTATTACATTTGGAGCCAGTTATTACATTTGAGGCCAATTATTACACTTGTGGCCTCAGCAACTGAAGGTACTGATCCTGTTTTCACCTAGGATAATTAAAAAATATTTATATCCATCCATAGACTTTTCATGGANGAGCCAGTTATTACATTTGAGGCCAACTGTTATTACATTTGGAGCCAGTTATTACATTTGAGGCCAATTATTACACTTGTGGCCTCAGCAACTGAAGGTACTGATCCTGTTTTCACCTAGGATAATTAAAAAATATTTATATCCATCCATAGACTTTTCATGGAGTCCACGCCATTCCTAACTTTTT